AAAGATTTATCCTCTAGTTTAAACCTCACCTCATATAATTTAATTTATACCATTTAATCTCTATTAACTTTTTATTTCCATTCTCTGTTTCACGTGTCTTTTAAATTTTTTATTTCTTTTATCGTTTGTTTTTCCCGTCATTTTCCGTTTCTTTCACCTCATCTAACCTTTGCTTCTCTCATTTGTCTCTGTTACAGTGATTTAATATTTAACCTGCTGATTTCAACGACTACAATATCTTCACTGAATTTATAGTCTGGGCTAAAAAGGAACACAAATCTAGGTTTATGTTCTAAAAACTTCACTCATTAAATTGTTTTATTCCAGGCCAAAAACTTTTTTTTTAATTTAAGACAGAGTGATATTGCAAAGTAAATTCCTGCCCGTGCACGAGATATGAACTTCAGGAATCAGATTTTACTGGAAATGAAACGAAACAGTTCATGGTGGCCATATTATCAGTAGTGATATGGAAGAAGCTAGGCAACCCCAGACAGACAAACTTGAACGCCGGTAATTAGGAGCAGCAACAAGGAACAAAAACATTGCTAATATAATACAGACTGATTGCACAATTACAGCAATTACTGATGAAAAACATGGACAATGAACTCACGGAAAATTTCGAAGGCCCCTGTACTGCCCTCAAAATATCAATGGAAGAAATTTAGCTCTACCGATGTCCGCGGATCTTAAAATCACGCGCAATTGAAGATCGATGAAAACCGGATTCATAAGGGATCATGTGCTGGCCAAAATCTCATCAGAAAGTCAAAGTTTGGAAGAAACGCTTCACCTGATCCACACAGTTGCACCTCGCACTTTGTATCATTGTGGATTTGCACATCAACTAAATCTTGATAGCCAATTTCATTGTGAAAAAAGCGGTAGATTAAGATGAAAAACTGCATTACGAAATTGAGATCTTAACTACCCACTTGAGAGATCGCAACAGTTGAACTCAAACTTCAAATTGTATGGCAAGAACTTGAGATTATGAATGACCTAGAAAGACCTCCTACCTCGCCTTACATTTTAAGATCATCATTTCCTAGGCAAAAAAATCATGGACAGTGTCTGCATGGCCGAGCGTTATAGTGAAGCAGTTAATACAGGAAATTAAAACGATATGCTCAGAAACAAGTGCATGAAATTTTTTGCCTCATTAGAACAGCACGATCAGGAATCCAGAAAACCTGACCCAGAAGTGATGCGCGTAGAATGGAGCAAATC